GATGGATTTCCCATCAAGTACGTTGCCTTGTTGAAGCTCCAAGTAGTCCTTGTACTTCATGCCAATATATGCTGCTGCCGGATGCTGTGCAGTGTCTACCAACTTTGGTGCAGGTCTAACTACTGTTTCAAGCGATGGGCCAGTCGGAGTGGCTACCGATATTCTTGTTGATTTGTTGTTCAGCACTGCCCTGTGAATGTTGCTCCTGTACTTTCCATTGCTAAATATCTACGACGTACGTACGTACATGTAGCAAAATGGAAATTAATGTTTGTGATTGCCAATGATCGATAAAGAATGCCTCAAATATCTCTAGGGTTAATGCCATTAAACAGTAATACTAAGTGATGAAGTGAAATTGAATAGGAATATTTACCTCGAGGTGATCGCCAGTGTTGACAAGGAAGGAGTAGGGTGCAGCATTGACGTTGACCCATTTACCCTTGTGTTGCACTTGAAGGCCACTGATCCCATTCTGCATAAGAAGGGTCAAGAGGCCATGATCAGAATGAGGAGGCATCCCCATTGCAAGTTCTGGCTGTGGACAAGGAGGATACAGGTTTGCAATGAAGATTTGCAAGCCAGCTGATTCCACATCCAAGGCCGTGTCAAAGTCTGTGGCCTCCAACCCCAGGCTCTCTGATATTCCTTTCAGTAGCTCCCTTGTTACTTCTCTTGTTCTTTTGCAATACTCTGATGCAAGCTCACTGCACCAACAAAAGGCAGGGTGAACGCGTTTTGTGTACTACCCTAATTTACCATATGAGATTCGAACTCATGTGTAAGGAGACAGTTATATTTCTCAGATCAACTTACAAAAACTTCTCTTAATGGTTTAGGATTCTTTTTAATGCTTATTATGATCATGTGTTAACACACATCTCTTTAAATTAAAGCTTCATAATTGGAATTCAACTTGGTTTTAAAATATGTTCATCTGTGCCACTGCCAAGTAATTCAACTTTTGGAACTTAATTACTTGATTAACTTCTAAAAGACCACAAGATAAGAACATAATTAAATCATCATTATTCAACATACCCTACCCAACAAGACCATGATTTAACAAGGCTGATAACATATATTTAATTAAATAATGTATTCATTATCAAGAATGGTGGTCGATGACTAACCTGAAGCCAGCAGGTTTAGAGGGGAAGTGAAACTCAGGATATACAAAAACCTTGAGAAAATCCCTCCAAAACCGAACATTCTCCACAGAGGCATTGAAGCTGGTCCCGCATCTGATGGGGTCCAACACGTGCTTCCCTTCAAACTCCTGCTTCTCCTCCTCCGTCAGATCAAAAAAGCCCTCACAACCATCCAAGATTGCCTTCATCAGACTCTCTGGCACACCATGATTGATCACCTACCAGTGGAAAATGAAAATATATAAAAATACAAAACCAATAATTGCCCTTTTCTTTCTTGAGGCGTTTAGATTTGAGTAAAAAATCGAAGATTTAAATGAAGTCCAGTATTAGGTATTTCTTTTATACTCATGTTATATTTCTTTAAGGAATTAGAGATAAATCAAAATCTTTTAATTGCATCTTGTAATTTCAATAATCTACTTAATAGTTTCTAACAAAAAACTATACTAGCACAAATTCATCATACGTAGAATATATGACCCTAACTCTAATCAAGCAACAAAGTATAATATACTTATGAGTGAGATATGAAGCCTAACTAAAAGTACAAAATCATAATATACCTACTAGCAAGACACATTAATTTGTAATACATGTTGACTATAAAAAAAAAAATGTAATACAAGTAGATAAATACAATCAACCTATTATATAGGTTCGTTATAAAAATAAAATAAAATCTATAACTATATAGGGTTTAGAGCATGAAGAAGAATAAGAAGTAACAAAAAATAGGAAATAAGTAAACTAATTAAAGAGATAATTATTGATATTGATAATAAAATAATCTTAAATTTAAGAATTTGACTTATTTTAATAAAGTGGGCGATCTATTACTAATATTGGCTATGAAATTGGACATTTTTTTTTTTTTTTCTTTTGAGTACTATAGTCCAATAGTATTTTTCTTTACTTATACGAATGATATATGTGTAGGGTGGAGGGTGTAGGTACCATGAAGAAGCCCCAGTCCTGGCAGGCTTTGCCGAGGTCGTTGATAGCTTTAGAGCGCTGTTCAGGAGTAGCAGATGTTGTGAGAAGAGATAAGTCAACGGTCGGAATGATTGCTGCTTCTGTATCTTCTTCGAAAGCTTTCTGATCATCGTGGGGATTATTATTGTTTGTGTAGGTATAAGTGGGAGGAACAATGAAGTTGCCGTTGGTGTCCTGTGATTCCGCAATAAGCTTTTTTATGGTGGTCAGTTTGGGTGGTGGATGATCGCGGCAAACTTGTGAGGAGTTAACCTTAACCATTAGATCAGTTGCAGCCATTAAACTAGCTAGAGAGAGAGAGAGAGAGAGAGAGAAAGAGAGAGAGAGGGAGAGAGAGGGAGAGAGAGGAAGGTAAGAAATGTAAGAGATAAAGTGGAAGTGGGGGTGGCGGTGAAAGGGGGGGGGAGAGGATCCACATATATATATATATATCCAGTAATTTAGAGATATATTAAGTGGGAAGGGAGGGTCCATATGAAGGAGGCTTCGGTCTGGATCTCTCCCATCAAATGCTCAGGACCAAATAATTTGAATCGTTGAAATTTGGTACGATCTGAATCAATTAATCCTGAGCTTTTAATAATAGAGATCTGAACCGGTTCCTCTTCCGGTCCATATATATTCCAATAATGTAGAAAGATTATTATAGTATATGATTGTATTCTTGAACGAACAGAAGTTCTGTCTCTTCTTTGCAATTTTAATTAAAAAACTATTGCATATTGCATTACATAACAATTTGGTGGAAATTGTAGGCCTTGATTATGATTAGGGCTGAACAATGGTTTTGACGGATGGGTAATCGCGATAATTTACTCATAATCGTTTATGCTTATATTCGCATGACTGTTTATCTGTTGCGTAATTGCTTAAACGGTTATATCATATACATAACCGTTTATAAACGGTTAACTATACTCATTTAATCGTAACCGTATACTCGTTTATTCCGTTTGCCCATTTATCCCTTTTTTACCCATTTTACCCCCTCCCCCATTTTTCACCCATTTACATATTTTAATTGTTACCAATCAAGATAATATAATATATTCGAAGAATTGATTTGTTACTAACAAAATACTTCTCTTTAATTGAGCAAGCATATTGAAAAGAAAATTAATGTATTTGCGATATATATTTTTTTTTCTCTATCCAAGTAATTCTTTAATTATAACATTCATATGATTACAAAGTAAAGCTTCAAAAACTTAATTTGAAAGGGAATACCACATTAAAACCTCAAACAGAAATACCAAGCAGTACCTAGATGAATTTATTAGTATCATGACTGTAATGCAATTTATGGTGATACTGGTGACAAATCATCACCAATTCTGACAAAAAAAAAATTAGAAAACTAATGAAAATGATTTGAAAATCTTGAGTTTTAACGATAAGATAAAATAAAAGGTAAAGTGAATAGTATAAGAATTGACTTTTTAGTGTAAAAATGTGATTTTTCGTTAAAGTGAACAGTACTAAAAGTTTTTTTTTTGTTAAAGTTCCTTAAAAAAAACTTATGTAGGCTAATGTGGTGATGATGAAAAATCAATTCTGATCAAAAGCTTGGGTGGTTTTTTTTTTGAAAAAAAAAAAATATATATATATATATATATATATCAAAATAAATTGGTACGCGTTTATAATTGCGGTTAATACTCATAAACGCCAATTTAAATTCCACTGATAAACGGTTAAACTCATAACCATTTAATTGTAACCGTGAAATTTAAATGGACAGGTACCCACGGTTATCCATAATTGATGGGTATTTGGCCATCCCTAATCATGACACTTAAATTTACATTTTTTTTAGTCAGTTAGCCCTTAATCTCAATCTTGGGTATTGGTGAAATTACGGAGCAACTACAGAAGTAATTTGTTGATTTGACAAGGTTATTTAACACATTTAAAAAAGGATTAACCTTAGTTTATTATTTTGAAGTTTCGTGGTTTTTAATATTTGGTACATGAAGTTTTTTTTCATCCTAAAATCATACCTCAAGTTTTAATTTTGAGATAGTCTCATAAATCCGTTAAGTTGATTGTTAAGTCAGGTGTTAACTGGTGATGTGGCACCCACGTAGACAATGACTAGACGTCATGTAGATATTTAAAAAAATTAAAACTAATAAATTAATAAAAAATATAATAATAATAATAATAATAATAATAATAATAATAATAATATTTATATATAAAAAAAAACCCTCAAAGATAATGATACCTTTCTCTCTCTCTTCTGTCCGTAATGCCCAAAACCTTAACCCTCGCCCGCTTCAAAGCCCTCTTGTTATTCCTCTCCGTTTTCCTCAACCTCTACTTCCTCTTCCTCCACACACCTTCAGCCCTTCTCTCCTGCTACACTTCATCCCCCACCATGCGCCGCCACCTCGTCTTTTCCATTGCCTCCTCCTCCCGCTCCTGGTCCCGCCGTGAGCCCTACCTCCGCCTCTGGTCGTTGTCTCCAATGACACCTGATGAAACTGTTAAAGCTTCCTAGCCGCTAGGGTTAGGGCTTGTTTTTAGGGTTATTTATGTTATGTTGAATAATTCCTCCTAAACTTGAGGAACACTGTTGCATTTTCTGTTTAACTTAGTCATGCCCACGATTGTAGGACTTGTAAAGTCGTGTGTGGTTGTTTTTCCCTTTTTTGTCTCGGTGTAAGGCTATTTATTAGCCACAACAGTTGTTTAGCTAAATAAGACTTCTCCCACTTTTCTAGTATGAACTGGTTTTACATTCACAAGAGCTTTCTGCTATTCTTTTGGTTCTAACATCTGGTATCAAAGCCCCACCATGGGGCCTGATCAAAGCTTGCAACATAGTCACCGACGTGAAAGAACAAAACCATGGCATCTGAAAGCAGCTTCGTGCAACCTGCCATTTTGAAGTTTGATGGACACTACGATCACTGGAGTATGTTAATGGAAAACTTTCTACGTTCCAAAGAGTATTGGAACTTAGTGGAGATAGGGATAACTGCAGTAGCAGAAGGAGTGGATCCAAGTGAAGCACATAAGAAAGTGATTGAAGATCAGAAGTTGAAAAACCTGAAGTGCAAGAACTACTTGTTCCAGGCCATCGATCATTCGATCCTAGAGACAATTTTGAAGAAGGATATAACGAAGGATATTTGGGATTATTTGAAACAGAAATATCAAGGAACAACACGTGTCAAACGTGCTCAATTGCAGGCTCTTCGAAAGGAGTTTGAAGTGCTACACATGAAGGCTGGAGAATCAGTCAATGACTATTTTGGTAGGACTCTCATCATTGCTAACAAGATGAGGATTCATGGGGAGCATATGGAGGATGTCGTAATCATTAAGAAGATTTTGCAGTCTATGGCTCCAAAATATGACTACGTTATATGTTCTATTGAGGAGTCAAATGACTTGGATACTTTGTTGATTAATGAGCTTCAGAGTAGTCTATTGGTGCATGAACAACATGTCAGCCGTCATGTTGTAGTGGATGAACAAGCACTGCAAATTTCTTCTGGAGTCTAGCAAGTAGGACGAGGCTGGGATCGAAGTACCTCTTGTGGAAGAGGAAGAGGAAGGGGTAGATTTGGGTACGAAAAATCTACCCTAGAATGCTACAATTGTCATGAATTGGGGCATTTTCAGTGGGAATGCCCAAAGAAAGCAAAGGAATAAAAGGCCAACTACGTAGAGACAAAAGAAGAGATGTTGTTAATGACTTATGTTGACTTCAATGAAGCTGAAACAGAGCATGTTTGGTTTTTTGATTCCGGGTGTAGCAACCATATGTGTGGCAAGAAGGAGATATTTGTTGATTTTGATAGCAGTTTCAAAGAATCTGTAAAGTTGGGGAATGGCTCAAGACTCACTGTTCAAGGAAAAGGCAAGGTTTGAATAGGGGTGAATGAAATTGTTCATGTAATCACGGATGTCTTCTTTGTACCAGAATTGAAGAATAATTTGCTAAGTATCAGGCAGCTGCAAGAGAAGGGACTCGCTGTGCTTATTCAATAAGGAAAATGTAAGATATTTCATCTCGAGAAAGGTCTAATCATTGAAACAGAAATGACTCACAACAAAATGTTCGTTGTGCTTGCTCACTGTCCACCACCAAAGGAGCAAAAATGTTTCTTCTCTTTAATCACAGACCAAGCCAGTCTCTGGCATTGTCGATATAGGCACCTCAGCTGGAATGGACTCAAGGTACTCCAACAAAAGAAGATGATGGAAGGATTACCCGAGTTCAAAGCCATTCAACGAGTACATGAAGGCTGTCTGGTGGGAAAACAACACCGTGATCCATTTCTAAAGGAAAGTATATGGAGGGCTTCTCAAGTTCTTCAGCTGGTGCACACTGACATATGTGGTCCGATTAATCCATCTTCGAACAGCAACAAAAGGTATTTAATCACCTTTATTGATGATTTCAGCAGAAAAACTTAGGTTTTCTTCTTGACAACAAAATCAGAAGCCTTTTCTATTTTCAAATCCTAAAAGCTAGGGTTGAAAAGGAAACTAGAGTGTTCATTCGAAATCTGAGGACATATCGAGGGGGTGAGTTCACATCACAAGAGTGTGCAAGTTTCTGTAACGAGTATGGGATACATAGACAACTGACAGCCGCATACATTCCTCAACAAAACGGTGTCGTCGAGAGGAAAAACTGAACTATTATGAATATGGTGCGAAGTATGTTGTCAGAGAAGCGAGTTCCTAAAACGTTTTGGCCCAAAACTGTGAATTGGATGGTGCATGTGCTGAACAGAAGTCTAACCCTTGCCATGAAGATCAAAACACCTGAAGAAGCTTGGAATGGACGTAAACCATCAGTGAAGCATTTCAGAGTTTTTGGCTGCATATCGCATGTATACCTGATAACAAGAGGGTAAAGTTGGATGCTAAGAGTCTCAAATGTGTATTTTTAAGGGTCAGTGAAGAATCAAAAGCATACAGGCTGTTTGATCTTTGTCAAAAAGAAAAATAATTATCAGCAGAGATGTGGTCTTTGAAGAAGACCAAGGGTGGAGTTGGGATGACAGTCATAAGCAAGCCATACTGGTTGATTTGGAATGGGAAGTCGACGAAGAAGTAAACACAGAAGAGGAAAGCAATGGAGATGAGTATGAAGCAGTTGAAGAATTGAAGGAAAATGGGTCAGACAACAGCAACCCTTATGAAGGAGACACCTCAAGTGTTTTACTTCTAGAAGGACGAACATGAAGACCCTCAGCATGGATGAGAGACTATATAACTGCTCAAGATTTCTTCGATGAAGAGGGTGTGAATATAGCTCATCTAGCTTTGTTCATTGATAGTAACCCAACGACATTTAAAGAAGCTGTGAAGAGTGAAAAATGAAGAAGTGCCATGGATCAAGAAATTGCGGCAATAGAGAAAAATAAGACATGAGAGCTAAAAGATTTGCCATCAGGAGGAAAGACTGTTGGAGAGAAGTGGGGTTTTAAAACAAAACTCAATGAGCATGGTGAAGTAGACAAGTACAAGGCACTAACTAGTTTCTGAAGGATACAGTTAACAATATGGAGTGGATTATGCAGAAGTATTTGCACCGGTGGCTCGCTTAGATACAATTCGTTTGGTGTTTTCTCTTGCTGCACAGAAAAGTTGGTTAGTTTACTAACTTGACGTTAAATCGGCCTTTCTGCATGGGGAAATTAATAAGGAGGTGTTTGTAGATCAACCACCAGGTTATGAATAGAAGGGGGAAGACTCAAAAGTCTATCGATTCAAGAAAGCATTGTATGGACTCAAACAAGCTCCCTGAGCTTGGTACAGTCGCATAGAGTCATACTTTGTCAAAGAAAGCTTCAACAAATGCTCCCACGAACATACTTTGTTCACTAAAACAGTGGTTGGAGGTAAAATATTGATTGTTTGTCTTTATGTTGATGATCTGATATTTATTAGGAATGATGAAGGTATGTTCGAAGATTTTAAGAGATCCATGATGGTTGACTTTGACATGACGAATCTCGGGAAAATGAGATATTTTCTGGGCATTAAAGAATTGCAAAATGAAGATGGCATCTTCATCAGTCAACGGAAATATGCTCAAGAGATTCTGGAAAGGTTCAATATGGATCGGTGTAACTCAGTTCATAATCCAGTGGTTCCTGGCTTTAAGCTCACAAAAGATGAAGGCGAAGTTAAAGTTGATGGTACTGTCTACAAGCAGATGGTAGGAAGTCTCATGTATTTAACTGCCACTCGCCCTGATTTAATGTTTATCGTTAGTCTGATCAGTAGGTACATAGAGCGTCCTACTGAGTCTCACTTACTGGCGGTAAAGAGAGCTTTGAGGTACGTGAAAGGTACAATTGGTTTTGGGATGCTTTTCAAGAAGGGAGGAAGTGAAGAACTCGTAGGATACATGGACAGTGATTATGCTGGCAATCAGGACAACAAGAAAAGTACCTCAGGTTATGTTTTCTTAATGAGCTCGGGAGCTGTCTCTTGGTCTTCAAAGAAGCAACCAGTGGTTACTCTCTCTACCACTGAAGCTAAGTTCATAGCTACAACATCAAGTGCATGCCAGGTTGTGTGGCTTAGAAGAATTCTTAGCCATCTGAATCAAGTGCAAAGCAGTCCAACAGTGGTGTTTTGTGATAATATGTCAGCGATTAGACTCTCGAAGAATCCTGTGATGCATGGTCGAAGCAAGCACATAGATGTGAGATTTCATTTTCTTCGGGATCTTGTCAAGGATGGAACTTTAGAGTTAATTCACTGTTCTACACAAGAACAAGTTGCAGATGTTCTAACAAAGCCATTAAAGCTTGAAGATGCGAAGCTTACTGGGTGTGTGTGAATATCCAGGTGTAAACTGAATAACAATGGTATTCAGTTTAAGGGAGGATGATGAAACTATTAAAGCTTCCTAGCCGTTAGGGTTAGGGCTTGTTTTTAGGGTTATTTCTGTTATGTTGAATAATTCCTCCTAAACTTGAGGAACACGGTTGCATTTTCTGTTTAACTTAGCCATGCCCACAATTGTAGGACCTGTAAAGTCGTGGGTGGTTGTTTTTCCCTTTTTTGTCTCGGTGTAAGGCTATTTATTAGCCACAATAGTTGTTTAGCTAAATAAGACTTCTCCCAGTTTTCTAGTACGAACAGGTTTTACATTCACAAGAGCTTTCTGCTATTCTTTTGGTTCTAACAATACCTCCTGCTTTTCGTACACTTTCAAGGGAGGGCTTCGTTTCGCGATCCGAGTGGCGCACATGGTCAAGGAGTCGTCGATCGCGGTGAGCTGGATGTGAGGTGGTTCGTGTTTGGCGACAACGACACGGTGTTCTTTGTGGAGAATCTGGTGAAGACGCTGTCAAAGTACGATCACGATCAGTGGTTTTACATCGGGAGCAATTCAGTTGCAGTCATGGTTGCAGAGAGAGTAACGATGATTGAAGAAGAAGGCGATGGGGTTGGATTGGAAGGTGGTTGACGATGAGGGTTGATTGCAGGAAGTATGGCTAAAGATTGGATTGGAGGATATCCTTTAGGGTTTTTTTTTTTTTTTTTTTTTTTTTTTTTTTTTTTTTAAATTAAATAATAATAATAATAATAATAATTTTTTATTAATTATAATTTTTTTAATATCCACGTGGCGTCCATTCATTGTCTATGTGGGCACCACGTCATTAGTTAATGGTTGATTTAACAACAACCTTAACAGATGTATGAAAGTGTTCAAGATTATGATTTTAGGTATCACTCTGGGATGAAAAAATTTCATGTACTAAATGTTGAAAATCATAAAACTTTAGGGTAATAAACTGAGATTAACCCAAAAAACAAATAAAAAATGCTACAGGGATGCATGCTTCTCCTTGGGTTTTTGTAGAACCTTTCTTCTCCTTCTCTGGCATTCATCACGGTGATTCAGACGACGGGGAGGAGTAGCAATTGGGTTGAGTTGAGAACAGGAGAGGCGTAGCCGCAGTGATCTATCCGTCGGAGCTTGAGCAGAAGTGAGTCGGTAGAAATCATGCGGCTGCCAACCCCTTTCTCTCCTATCCTATTCTCTCTCTCTCTCTCTCTCTCTCCCTCCCTCTCTCCTTCTGTGTTTCATAACATCAGACTTTCTCTCTCCTCTTCCTCTCAGAGACACATATATACAAATACTCCTTGGTGCGGCCTTTCCCTCGATTTTTCCTTTAATATTTTTTTCAATTTTTTATTTCTAAATCTCACTCACTCAAACCTACCTGCAGCAGTACAAAGTTCTTAACTTTTCCCCATCCAAGCTGCTATTTAGGTAAAATCTCAGAGGTCCCCTAATTTGAATTTTCAATTCGGGTGGAGGAAAGGGAAGGCCCGCATCCCTAGGCCTTTTTTATTTGTTTAGTTTTTTAATTTTTAAAATTTTTAAAATCTTTAATTTTTTTAATATCTATGTGGGCTCATATTGACACATGTCATCCTGTCATTGTCCACGTAGACATCACGTCATTAGTTAACGACTGACTGCCAACTTAACGGGTGTATGAAACTGTCCCAAAATTAAG